TTTTTTTTCTTCTTTGATGCATTTCTTAAGACCTGTCACAATTGTGTAACCTTTCTGTTCATTCGTCAGCTGCTCCCTGACTGACTGTAAATGTTACATGAGAAAGATATATTACGGAGGTGTGTCTTTTTAATATAAAGTTAGCGGTAGGCGACGGTTTGAAATGGTCTTTTTCATAAATTTTTGAAACCCTGGCTCTGTAAAATGTTAATAAAGGAGAAAATCTACTTGCTAGTTTTTGTAAAGCTCACTTATTAGCATCATGTCTTGTTTTTTGTGTTGCGTATAATAACTGTGGAAAGTGGAAATAGGACAGGTTATGGTTTATGGGGGGATTAATTGCTACAATATTTCCAGGCTGCAAATCACAGCTTCCTACTTTCTTTCTGCTCATCTTCAATTGAGAAGCTACCTGTGATAAGACGGATACAGGAAAATAGACAGTAAAACACGAGCTGTGGGGTAGGGAATGGGTTGAGAAACTCAACATGACAGAATCAGTGGAGCTGTTGGCTCTTACTTTAGGTAACTGATTCCTGGCTAGAGCTAAAAAATTAAGTAGAGAGTAGGACATTGTTAGTCTCCTTTATTAAATGGCAAGAATGCTAATATTTCCAAAACTTTTTACCATTTTAAGATAAAACCATTACCTTATAAGATGCAGCTCCCCCCCCAAAAAAAGCTCCTCCTAGCCCAGCTGTTACAGCAGAGGAGATTTGGATATGGGCACGCATCCACAGACGCAGACGAGAATTTAATGAGCTGGCTTGCGCCACAAAGAGAATCCAGGACATTATATTTAGACCCCGTTTTTCTTCATTTGGCTTTACTATACAAAGAACGAGAGACTTTCCCTCAAGCAATCTCTGTATCCCGTGTTAGGAATATCATTATAAGGCGTCGCATTTAGGGAGAAAACGCTAACAATGCCAATAACGAGAATCGACATCCTCAGAGAGGATGAAAACACTCGGCATATTAATTGAAAGCTGTTGAGGGGTTCACAGAAGGATCAGCATCCTCCTGTCACACCAGCGCCATGTGTGATTTCTACTCTGTGTGCACTTTCTAGTTGAATCTCAGTCCTGCCCTTTACTTGCACCTTTGGGGGTTTTTTTGACAAGAACCCACTGTAATGAGACAGAAGCCAAACTTCTAACTCCTCACACACAAAGCTATGTTGTAGGTGTTTGACTTATTATATCCTGTATATAACAAATACATTTCAAACAAATGTTTTTTTTTATCATTATTAATATTATTTTGCCTCATTTCTGCCGATGTTGTTCCTGCTCTTACGACAGCTACAGGTGTTTTTCTTTCACTGGTTTTTCTGCCGGGGTTCAGGTCCCGGTTCCTTGACAGTCGAGGCCGTTTGTTTCTGCACTCGTAGCGCTTTGGCTGCTTTGACAGTCGAAGACATGGGTGCATCACCTTGTTTACTGTTGTCTCTGGCTTTCCTCAACCTCTTGATCTGTATCTCTCCTTGCTTTGACCTACCTTTCTGCTGCTCACACTCTGCATCTTTCGCACCGCTACACTTCCCATCTTTCACCTTCCCTATTTCCTCTTATTGCAGTCCTCCTTATTTCCTTGTCCGCTCTCATTCTTTAGCTTCTGTTTCTTGTCCCTTCTCTCCTCCTATTCCTCATAATCACCTCCCTCCTCCTTTCCCTTTGGCCAAGGTCCATGCTATAAATCAGAAGAAAATGAGCCTGTTCCTCTGTTTTGCAGTGGAGGAAAGTTACTGAAAAAGTTCCTCAACTGCACTTTTAAGGTATTCTACTTGTCAGTGATGGCTACCATCATACAATTTGTGCTTCTGACAACTATACGGGGAAATTTAGAAATGCTTTTCACTACCTGCAGTATTCTGCAGGTTTTACGTATAAATTATACTGAAGGATAACAAAGCTTGTTAGAAACCTTCTAATTGGGCAAACTTTACAAATAGTTTAGGCTACAGGCTTCTTGCCTCATTAAATACATTATATATCTCTGTGAAGGTTCTCAGTCATCCAGGTCATCGTAATCAAAGGAGCTTGCAAAGAAAAGCGTCTGGACTTCTTTAAGTACTTAAAGAAGTCCAGACGCTTTTCTTTGCAAGCTCCTTTGACTACATTATATATCAGTTTAAAGATTTTATAAAATCAGCCTTTGGGTTGAATAGTTCTTAATATTAAAAGTCATTGATCAAACCAGCCTGCGGGTCTGGGTAATAAATTCTTTCCATACTTAAGGATCCACTGATTTAACATATATATTTACAAATGAATCAATGGATGCAACTCTGATTAAACACAGAATCACGCTGGAGAAAAGTTCAGGCCATCCACCAGGCAGCAGACAATTACAGTTAGAAACCAGATGGTGCTATAGTGATGTATTTAAAAGAGGCAGGTATTTCTCTCAAAGTCAGTCTTGTTCTTGTATTTGTGTGTGATTGATTAATGTGTCTCCCTCCTGCTTAATGTTGAAATAAGCTTCTCAGATATTCGTCACATGAACTTTAAAACCTGATTCAGTGTCTGCTGTCACAGAGATGTCAGCATTAAGGTGGATGTCACAGTCAATAAAGGTTTAATCCACACTATCTGCCAAATTCAAAGGTGTCACACTCACAAGTGGATGTTCATGAGATAAATGGAGATCAGTCAAACACGCATTGATTGATTTGCAGGACTGTAGGATGGATTACCAGGATTCAATTCAATTCCATTTGTATAGCGCCAAATCACAACAACAGTGGCCTCAAGGTGCTTTATATATACAGGAGATGACTACAAAGTGAAAATAGGTTGAATGAATGATTTAGCGTAAAGTCATTGTGCTAACCCTTATTTCACTGCATGGAAGAAAATGAGAACCTCTGTACTGTTTAAATTCAGCTCCATAGCGAAATACTCACAGCTTGGTGAGCAGTGCTAGGGTTAGCTGTTATTTGTTACTGTCGTACCTATGTTTCACCACAGTGTTTAGATTGACAGTTTCCAATTTTGTGTTGCTGGTGGCGTGGCTACAATTTGCTCACTGAACAAAACGCACAAACCACTGTTCGAAAAGACCCCCCGAGTGTGAAATCAAACTTCATACAACTAAAGAATACACACAGAGACGTACACAGATCGTGGCTGTTCAACCAAGTGGATACAAATTAAATTAATGGCGGTCAAAGTGGACTTCTCACTCTTTTACTTCAGTGAACAATCTAAATGTTTTCTGCTAGCTGGGTCGTGTGTGTGAAAAGTCATTTTTAAAAATAAAAAAAGCCCACCTCCTGATGGGCAGTTGTCTGGAGAATGGACAGTAGATGGTATTTATCTGTCACTGACCTTCGCATTACTCTCCTTCCTTTTTCTTAGCAACTGCTGAGGGAGATGCAGCAGATGGCCAGCCGGCCTTTTGCCACCATCAACGTCGCCTTGGAGACTGAGGAGGAGCCGCCTGACCTCATAGGAGGAAACGTCAAGGTTAGCACAACCTTTTCCTTAAAGCAATCAACACAGAACCCCAGAGATCTACTTCTCTTGTCTGGGTTGACGGTTACCGCAGGCAGGAAAGTTCCATCTATCTTTGCCCGTGTCACTCATCTGCCCTCAAGTGGGAGCTCAGTCTTGTGTCTTTTGGCTGCTTTTTTGATGATGCTCAGGGAGAGCTGTACTGCACGTCATCTGCTTTACATCAATGTTGGCTCTGAAGAATGTTTTTTTTAAGGAGATCTCATTAGTTTTCAGCAAGCCAAGAAGGCCAAATTGAGCTCTCTTATGAAGAAGAGTTTGAAGTGCATTACAGGTCTAGTACATCTAATGAGGGTCAATGCAGTGTGCATTTGCCGGGACAGTGCGAGGGTTGGATGATGTTGAATGTGGGCTGCCAATGAGTAACACAGCACATTATACCAGTTATTTCCAGGTTATGTGGGTAGCCTGTGAATTCTAATGGAAATGAATTGAGTTAACCCAGGAGTTAAATACATGCAGACAAGAATACGGTTCTGCTGATTAAGACAGTACTTACATCCCACATTGAGATATTCTTCATTTGATTAAAAAAAATTGACACCTTCTTACGCAAAGTGTTTGCAGACATGAAGATAATGAAACAATTAGGGGGTAACAATAAAATCATAATCTTCATCTTAGAAAACACACTTGTTTTAGTGCATCAGTGTGTTTGATGGACAAACAGAAAATAAAGGTAGCAAGTTTACTCGTTCATATTTGGAGTGCAGCATAAAAACTGGTAAAGATTTCATTTGGGAACTACCTTAAAGGCAGTTTTGAGTACTCTGGCAAGTGACTGCATAGCCGTTTTTTTGCACATGCATGCACTTCAGCCGTGACAGATACTTGTGCGAGAATGCAACCGTCCATTTCAGTTTGATCATCGCTCAGTGGACTTCGGTATAGCAACTTCGGTAGCTCTGTTGCACAGAGTCTGTGCGATGCGAGATTGCACCAATTTGTGCCTATATGAGACCATTGGTAATGATTCAGTGTTTTTACTGTTACCAAAGGGTTGCATCCTGCTACTTGCACACTCTCAAATAACTCAAAGGGCATATTTCCACTAGTGAGATTCCCGCTGATGCAGACCATCTCCTGTTGCGTGCTACATGTGGGAACCGAATACTTCAGACAGAGTCGTGACTTGATTATCCTGACGGCTTTTTGAGTGAAAACATCCCTGCCAACCCTCCAAACACACACACAACATTCTGAATTATAGGTACGGTGAAAAGAAATCTGTGTAGAGAGAAAGTGCTGAAAGTAGTAGAAGGGTAGATTTAAACATAAAGGTCAAGGTGAGGTAGAGATGGAGGTTTAGAAGACTTCATTATAAAGAGGAGTTTAACGTGCCGGCAGGAGAAGTCGGAGTGGATTTAAATGCAGATGCCGAGAATAGATGCAGTAGCAGAAAACATTTAAAAGTAGGAATCGTGCACTTATAGAAATTGCAGTTTAGTATACAACGGCACAGAGCCGCAGGCAGGTATACCTGTGACTGTGCGCTTTGTGATGAATGACCCCTGAATGCAGATGCAGCTCAGAATTATAGGACTGTGCAGCAGACTAGCTCAGGGCCCCTCGGCTCTGACAGGGTCCATGCATCTCAAGGGGCTTGGATCATGAGCACAAGGTTACTTCTAGCAAAGGCTGCGGGGCCCCTCGGGAAGATCAGCAGCTAATCAAACCCCTGCTTGAACAGAAACTATGCCGCCTCTTCACATCTCCGCTCCTCTGTCCTCACTTCTTCTCTCCTCTTCTCATCTTTTCTTTCCTTTAAATATTCCCTTCCCTACTGCCTCCTTCTTCGTTCTTCTTCTCTCCTTCTTTTAACTTCTTTGTAATTTACCATCTTTTACTGTTTTTTTCTCTTTTATCTTCATTTTATTCATTTTGCTTTCTTTGCTTTATCATTTGCCCTTTCTTTTCATTTTTTAATGTCCTGTTTTCATCTCTTCTGTTAATCTCGGGCTTTTATTATCTTATTTTGTCGTTCCTTTGTCTGCTCTTCATTGTAATTTCCTTGGTTAGCCTCTTCCACTTTTCTCTGTTTTACAGCTCAGCCTCACTTCCTATTTTTTATGCCCTCTCTCCCCTTTTAATGCATTCTTGCATTTTCTACATTTCGATTTTTTCCTTTTCCCCCCTTTACCCAGCAGTGGTTCTCGTCTCTACTTTTACTCTTTTCTTGTTGGCTTCCATTTGTCATTTCTCTTCTCATGTCATTTATTCAAATCTATTCAGTATATTTTCCCATTTCTTTATTTATATTGCTTCTTCTGTTCTTGTCTTCTTATATTTTGCCTCCAGTTTTGTCCTCCTTTTGTCCTCTTTATTTTCACTTTTTTCTCCATTTTGACTCGTTCTGTCCTCTGCTTTGTATCTTTTCTTTTCGTCGCTCTTGTGCCCTGTCTATCATCCTTACTTCACTGTAGTGTGCTCCTCTAATTTACTAGCCCTTAAATGATCCTATCAGCTGTCTAGGATTTTCTATTGGCCTTATCTGTTTTTTTCCTTTATTGTGTGTGTTTATGTGCATTCTGTGTGCACTCCTGTGTGTCGCTGTGGCGGAGAAAGAAAAGATGCTGCAGAATCAGACCTCTTCCTGCTCTGCATTACCTTTTCTTCTTCCTGGTCTTTTTTTTTCCTGTTTCTTCTATTCTTCCCAGCCTGCTCTCCTCCTCTCCATCAGGGCAGGAGCAGCCCAGGAGCAGAGATCCAATTTAGATCTTCCTCCTCAGCTTTCTGTGCCTTAACCTGCTCAGACAGTGAGTGTGCGCTATCCTATCTCCTCCCAGCTCAGATTGAGCGACTCGGAGCAGGTTCTTCCCCTTGTTTCCATGCTGTTTTATCAGGATGCTACAGTTGTGTATTAAGGCCCACAGTCAGAGTATACGGGAGGCCAGGCGCCGCACAGCAAGCTCAAGATCATTAAAGTTGTTTATAGTCACGATGGGAAGTCCAAACTTGCTCCGCCGATGAGATATATTCACTCAGCTCCTGCCAAATGGAGCCTGCGGTCCCACCATAGCAGGCAGATGATTACCTTTGTGACGCCTTCTGCTCTGCTTTTATTCATAGATACTGTGTGAAGAGAGGAAATCAGGACATGTGAGGCAAAAAAAGTGTTTGCTATTCGGAGGGAAAAGTATTGTTTTATCTAACATGTTTATGATTCTAAGCTGCAGGTCAGGCGTATTCTACTAATGTTGGTGTCTTTACCTATTAAAACCCTACTAGGAGTAATGTTTTCTGATCAGAGTGGAGTCTGCCACATTTCAGGCCTGATTATAGGACAAAATAACTGGTTGTGCATCAGAAGTTATTTAACTACCCTTCAAATAACCTGGAAACTGATGGTCATCAACCCACATCTTTGTTGAGATATACTGAGTTATCAATACTTGCCCTTAAAGGTACAGAGAAGGTCGTCAAATTCTGTCTTAATGAGGCAAAATCAATCAGTGCAGATCAGTGCTCAGTTATTTTTATTTGCTAGGGTTTGTTTTTTGTTTTTTCTTTATGAAAGACGAGATATTCATTGTGTACCTCATTTTTAGGTCCTTTCTGTATTTCATTGTGAAATGAAAAAAAGGACCTTTCCTCCCAGATTCAATTACAATTACATGCAATTACACATTTTTGATGTCTGAGGTTATATTTCCTGAGGTGTTTTATGTTGTTTTGTCAGTAATCAGTGTTTCTGTTCTGGCACTTATGTAAAAACCAACAAACAGAAATGGACTGAAAGATGAGGGAGCACTAGAAGAAAAGTTTGTGCCTTTTGTTTGTTTTGGCCAGCACATCAGATACCTCAGTTTGTTTGAGCTTGTGTGTGCGTGCGTTTGTATTAAAGATGACAGCCATTGTTCTCTTCCGCTGTCTTTAGTCTTTAAATAAAATTAGCATGCGGTTGGCATTACTGCACATACACTTCATTGACAACTGGGGTTGCGCTCTCTGTAATGGGATATCACATCAGAGTCTTGTTTTAGTTTGAGTTAAGGCTTACTCGAATGTAAAGTACTGTGCAGAAGTCTTGACCCACCCCTCATTTCTTTATATTTTGCTGCCAAGGAGCCAGACGTTCATGTAATATGTTTTTGCAGGTGGTCTGGAGTTGTAATTCTCCAGGCTTTCAGAAGGTATTTCAAATAGCCTCTTTGGATATTGGCTGCTTTTTCATTCATTTTCAGTTTAGTCCTTGCACCTTGCACATTTTCAGAGTTTGTTTAGGCCACTTAACACAGACAATGTGGATTGGGCAAAAAAAACCCTCTAAATTAGACAAGAACTGGACTGAAAATTAGTGGCAACAGATCCTATACTTGCATGTTTTGGTTCAAATTCAAATTTAAACCAAATTTAAACTTGGTTCATGTATGTATGGAGGAGGTCAGCAGTGAGGTACATCAGTGAGTGTTTACAGCCATCTGTAAAACACAGTGGAGGCTGTATCATGGTTTGGGGCTGCATTTCAGCCAGGGATGCTGGGAATCTTTTTGAGTTATGAATGCTGAAAAAAACCATCCAAATTGGCTCCACCAAGCAATATTTATTTTTCTGGATGACAATGATCTGACTGTAAGTGCAGTAAAATCATTTTTTGGAAACACAGAATGGAACATTATCAGTCACGGATTGTACTTGAACATTTTTGAAACTCAGTGGGATCAACTTGACAGAGAACCGAACAGCAGAAGAGCTTTGAATGTCCATCAAGATTTTTTTGTATTTACTCATTTTCATCGTGGTCTAATATTAAAACCAGTTTGGTGATTTGAAAACATGTAAATGTTACATTGGGAACGTGGCAGGTACTTTTAATTAGTATACTTACATGCTTTTTCCATTTATAATTGCATATTTCAATAAATTGCTGCACATATTGCCTATTTGCCCAGCAAAAGATAAAGAAATATGTGTGGTTGAAGGCTTTTGCAGAGTACCGCACTTATTTAAAC